CACTCCGACTTTTCCTGGACTTAATTAACCATAATCAATTAAATGTGACTTTTCCTGACCTAATTAACCATAATTAATTAACTCTGACCTTTCCTGACCTAATTAACCATAATCAATTAACTCTGACTTTTCCTGACCTAATTAACCATAATCAATTAACTCTGACTTTTCCTGACCTAATTAACCATAATCGATTAACTCTGACTTTTCCTGACCTAATTAACCATAATCAATTAACTCTAACTTTTAGGAAAGAACACCTAATTAGTTGACCTTTTTATGCTTGCTGTAGGTGTCGGGTTTGGGAGGGGGGGGGGGGGGGGTCTCTTCCTAATTTAACACCAATATTCCCCGAACCCACGCGTGAAGCTTACCAATAAATTTTGGGTGTAGCACCATGTACTTATGCGAGATCGGTGTGAGACGGTCCTTTACTTCATGCCCACTTCCGTCTGGTTGACATGGGGTGCAACCTGCAGTAGCCAAACTTCAACATTTCACCAAAGGCTCATTAAAGTCTGATTAATCAACGCAGAACGGGAGTAATTAGTCTTTTAACTCTTGCGGAGCTACTGAGGAGGAGATCAGAGCACTTATGGGTCTATCCGGAGTGCTGTGATGATAGTCCTCACTAATCTTCCCAATCCCTTATTGTAATAATTTTTGAGCTTGCCAGATGTCAGTCCACTCATCTATAGCTGTACGAATTAGTTCCAATGATGGTATTCCTCTTTGTCACCACCATAGAGACAGCCTTAGGTCATATCTCTCGATCTGCCGTCTTCTTTTGCCTTCTTTTCTGCCAGTAAACTTTCGTCGACCGTATTTTCTTCAACGCAGTAAAGGACCCGCTGACAAACATGATGACGTATTGACCATTTGCGGTTAACCCCACATCTTCAAGTAACTTCCCAGAACAATTTTCGATATCTGTTTTTAATATGGGCATCCTGCAAGCCGCGGTCAAATTTTATAATCTGCTCTTGTAAGTCATTTGAACCAGTCACCTCAGACGCGGAAGCCTAACAAATGACACCTAGTATTTCATTATACATACCTTTGTCTGGTTACGAGTTTTTATTTTGTCTATTTCCTCTGATTTCAGGCGCTGTGTTCTGGGATTTGTATACTTGTGAACATCTAATGGATTTGAGTCATTTCCATGAAACGAATACTTGATAACCGATCTGTGAAGAAATTGTTTCTCGCGTTGGTTAATTTAACCAATCTGGGCACCCGTACACCAACCTCGGTTTGTAATGAAAATAAACTACCTGGAGCTTGCGATCAAGGATATCTTGTTGTGGTCATTTTTTGAAGCTTCTCTGGTGACGTGTGTGCAGTTCTATGTGATCTGTGGTGACTTTAATAAAATGTTGGATTGGTAATTCAACACAGTGCCAATGTGGTAACTTTGATACAATGTTACATTTGGAATTGAGCACAGTACCATTTTGTTAACTTCGGTAGGTAACTTCAGAAGTAACTTAAGTTCATTGTTTGTAAACTGGTAGTTCAACCATTGTCTGTTGCGATAGCTGCATTCAAATTTATACTTGTAATTTATTACAATGCCATTGTACTAACTTGCATACAACATAATGCTTGTAATTAAACACATTTCTATTGTAATATTTAACACAGTGTAATACTGGAAATTTAACTAATAGTGCTATTCTAGTAATTTTATCAATGTGAAGTGTATTTTAACAATGTTTTTAAGTTGAATTGAGTTGACTCAAGAATTGACATCACAGCACTCGGGGCTTTCCCATGAGTGCTCCTTCCTCGTCTTCAGCAGCCAGCGCACAGTTTCAATACTGATGGTACCGGTCACTATCTGATTATGTGTCCGTCTTGCCTTTCCTCTGCGTGTAGTGAGCTGGCCAGACTCTCTGGTTACACCCAGGTGCCTCATTCTCTCCAGGCCATAATAATATTGTTTCTCTACTGATTCTATTGTTTGTTCCCAAAGGGCCTAGACCCCATCTGCCTTTTCATGTACAATTCACCACCCAGTGATTGACAATGGTATTTGTGCCCCGCATACGATTAGTTGCAGGAATGATTTCCATACAATGATTTTTAATTGTACAGTTAAATAGTGTGTGGTAAGAGTCACAAACACAAATATATAAGAATAACTGTAACATAATGTGAAAGTTACTTCAAAATAATACTGTTAAGTGTTAGCAGTAGTGAATGTGAATTTGTATATCACCCCCCACCCCCTTCCTTCCTCTTTTTCCGTTGTAGATAATAAAACAAATTCACTTATTCATTATCCTGTTCTGCCATTACATGCCACATAGGGCTCACATTATATTTCTCCATTCCATTCTATCCTGTGCAGTTAGTTTAATATCATGGATGGATTCCAGCCCAGCAGCTTTGGCCTCTCTACATAACGTTCGTCTTAGGGTTTATTCTAGGCGTCCTTGTCTCTTTATTCCACCCCCTCCCCTTCCCCCAATTTTAATACCTGTATAGTGATTCTTTGCTGGTGTCATCTCAGAATGTGTCCAATGCAGCGCCATCTTCTCTAACTTATAACTGATATTAGTGGTTGTCCAGACATTTTTCGTATTTATTTATTCCTTTTGAATTAATCCTATTTTATTTTTATTAGTTTCCTCATACGTCTGTTTTCGAATGCCTTTTACTTTCATTTAATAAATTGCAGTTGCGGATGAACAATAACTATAAGAAATAAATAGTTAATAATTTAGGAAATAACAAGAGAAGTTGCCATGTTGCTGTCAACAACTGCAAAACTCGGCAGTGTATGCTGGGTTGATTATTGAAAATGGAAAATAATGATACCATTAAAAATATAACATGTTTAACAAAATATCTGTATACTGTTTAAACACACACACACACACACACACACACACACACACACACACACACACACACAGAGAAACATTGTTATCCAATGTCGTGTTTTTATTAATTAACGAGAAAAGTCTACGCCTTAAAAACCATCGATGGCCCAAATTCAAAAAGAACTGTCAGTTAATTAGCTGAATCCTAAGGTATTCTTGTGTGCAATTCGAACAGTTTCGTACATCAAATTACACAGATTGTAACCGTCAAAACTATGGCAAACTCATGATCCTCTCAGTAGCTATGTTTGTCCTTGTTTAAAACTGTAAAACGCCATTAGACATCTGCATTTTTTGGTCCAACAGTGTTTAATTTAAAAAAAAAAATTTATTTTTCCTGATCCGGAAATACCAATTAATCTGCACATGTATACAAGTAGTGAGTATTTTATTCAACATAAGGAATGTATTACAAACAATGCTAATTATTGAAGGTGGTAGTTTAAAAAAAAAAACTTTTCAATAATAAAATGATGAAAGTAACTTTTTAATCGAAGAGTGACAGTTTTTGGAGGTCTGATCAATGCTCTTGACCGGGGCCGTGATTTATGACCTGCCACTAAAATATGTTTACTTCCTGTTTTACAGAATAAATTCTTTACACTACGTGATATTACGTCGACATCTATATTATTTCTATACCCACCGTCCCGTGTACAAACCGTTAAATATTAACAGTGTGTATTATTTCAGAAAAGGATATTTTACCCCAATTACCGGCAGGAACAAATTCTCACATTTAAAAAAATTTTAACAAAGAAGAAATGAGCAAGTAAACAAGATAACAGGAATGTAATGTGTCTGTTGTCAAGTTTGTAGTTCACGAGACACCAGTCTCCTTAGTTTCAACCACTGAATGTCCAGAGGTCATCTTCAATGATGTCGGTCAGTGTGAACACCAGCTCCAAACTGATCAAACAGTTCGTCCAGTACAGTGTCAAAGGCAATGATCTCTTTGATCTCCAAGCGATGGCCACCCTGAACTTGGCCACCCATGAAGATGTCAACGAATCCGGGATGATCTCGTTCTTCTACAAGGATGATATAGAACAGCTGAAGAAACCCTGGGTACAAGAGCCTCACTTCATACCATTAGTTCTTGTTTACGGATTCTTCTTTATTATGGGTAAGTTTGAAAACCTCTTATATGCTATTTGCATATTTGAATGACACTGTCAGTTGCTTTCATCATCATCATCATCATCATCATCATCATCATCATCATCATCATCATCATCATCATCATCATCATCATCATCATCATCATCATCATCATCATCATTGTCACGATACTGTCGTGCCTTGACACGACACAAAGGGCTCATCCTCTGACCTCCAACCAGTTTCCTGTGCTATTATTTCGACACCATAAAGGGAATCCCCAGTCTAGCACTTCTGTCGCTATTATCAATATTCAACCTAGTGTAATCTCTCTTGGTCATCTTTGTTTTCTCTTACGCCATTTGTCTTCCATTTCAGTGCCTGATTAGTTATTTGGTGTCTTTTTCTCGTAATGTGACAACTTACTGCCATTTTTTTTGGACTTAAAATTGTGGACACAGTTGGTTTTTCAGGCAATTCTCTTATTTCTTCGCCTTAGTCAATCGCACTGGTAGTTTGTTAATAATAATTATACCACACACCGAACAGGCGATGCAGACACTGGCCGAAGTTTTGACAATTAAAAAAAAAACGAACAAAAGCCTCTTATGTAAACAGAAGGAACTCTAACAAATTTAAAGTTATCCTGGTAAAACTCGTGACTATCATAAACTTCCGGCGATTAGACGAACACAATGTATCGATACACCCTATTTGTATTTCAGTGGAATTTATTCTGTTTTTTTTTCTTAATTATAAGTTGATGTAACTCTGTAGTAACACACCTGACTAAATGTAGCCAACTATACCTGGCAATGGGTGGCGTCCATGGCTAAGGCGTTGCGAGTCTGACTCGTAAGCCAGCATACCGCGATCGAAACCCACTGCAGGCTGCGTGGATTTTTGTGGTGGTATGGGACGTCGCAGGTCGACCCAGCCTAAATTGGGTACCAGGATGGGCTGTCCTGGAAAAGTAAAGACAGCCGGCGTTATGCTGACCACATTACCCACAGAGTGCTGATGGTCTGTAAAAATATGGGACGCTCTGCCCATATGCCCGATGCGCCGAAAGGCGTGAAAAGGGAACTTTACTTTACTTATACCTGGCAATAAATTGTGCAATGGGATCGACTTCATTGCACCGGAATGTATCCAATATAGCTCAGTCTCTTTCCGCAGAAAAGTTAGCGTCCCCTCCCCCCTTTGCCGAGAGCGTTGCACAAAGCACGAACTCCTTAGCTTCATCGGCGATCCATAGGGATCTGCGTCAAATTGCACACTTGAACCAAACGATGCAGCCGTGAAACGAGCTTATGAACCAGATCGTGGGGTAAACTTCACAAAGGAGACCCCCAAAGAGGTTAATGAAAATGTGTAAGGTTTCACCGCGGAGACCCCCAAATGAAAATGTGTAATGTAAGGGAGCCGGGCAAACTCCTGATGAGTTGCTTGATTCTGAAACAGTTAAGTTCTAGCCTAAGGTTGATTTGTTCTGTAGAAACCCTGCCAACCAAGATGGCGGGGGAGAGATAATCTAACAGACGGAGGAATGGACCTAGAGGCCTTGGAATGTTGACGAAGGAGGGGAGGCAGAGGAGGAAGAGGCAAACGAAAAGGAGGAGGAGGAGAAGAAGAAAAAGAAGAAGAAGAAGAAGAAGAACAGCAACAACAAAAACAACAACAAAAACAACAACAACAACGAGAAAAGGAAAGCCTTACACCTTGCATGCTACACTGTATTATCTGACTACCTTTAATCTTGACACCCCTCCCCTCCCCTCCCCCGCCCCACCCCTCCAACTTCCGAAATCAAAGACATCGTTTACTGCCTGTTGTACCTCATTTTAGAGCGGCCTTTGCCGAAGGGTCGTGAGCCTGCGGTGTTAGGGCCGCACAACTAGTGCTGTCGCCACCGACCGTAGGTTTTCTTTATCTTTGCCCTCGACAGAAAAAAAGGTGTTCACCTTAACGAGGATTCGAACCTGGGTTTCCTACATCACAGTCATGCCTTCTAACAAATTTCTCAGTCGTTTTGCCTTTATATTTACAGTGAGATCGATGCTTTATTTTATCGCTGGTTAACAGGCAGACTAAGGATATAATAAAATATATAATTTCCGCAGTTCTGACTTCAGTAACTGCTACTAAATCTTGATCCGGTGATCAAACCAGCCACTGCATGTTAGAAAATAATTTCATCCAAAGTTGTGGCGTTCGTAGTGCTGGGGGCATTAATACTCAACACAGCTTTATTTAATTAAATTTTTTTTTTTTTCATTGATTTAACTAATACATATTTCTCCCCCTCTGTTTACAACGCCTTCTTACTTTTTTCTTATCGTGATATATTCCTTTATATTCATATTTTTAAAGTTTGAGGTTTGAACAACGGATCAAAATCATTGCACACGGGTAGTAACCCATAAGTGCTCCGTTCTTCTTCTAACTCAAGAAGCTCAGCACAGTGCACAAGCTCTGTAGATTTTTAACTTTCAAATGTATGCTCGGTCAGCGCCGTTAGGCTATTATTTTCGATTTCCAACTGCCAAGTGATTTTATAGGTGGGCAATGATGCACACGTCGGCTCTGAGGCTAAGTCGATGCGACCCGTCGTAATACCGGGATGCCGGGTTCGATCCCAGCTGCGGGCTATGCAATGGCAAACTACTGGTCGTAAATTTGCCTAGAAAAACCACACAACAGCCAGGGGCTATAGTGGTTGATTCTGCAACGCCCTGTAAAGGATATGCAACTAACCTAATAATGCACACTGGCGTCAGATCTCGGGGGTGGGGGGGGGGGGTTACAAGAAGTCCAAGTCCACGTGAAAAAACAATCCTAGACCTTACCGGGAATTGAAACCGACACCTCTAGCACTAGAGGCGGACACCATGGCTCGAGACCACGCTGCCTACGTACTTCTTGGTTTCACGTTAACCCTAATTCTGTTTAATAGCTGTTTTGTCTTGTCCAGTCACGACTTGGGTCGAAACTTCGGTTGTGTTTGTGTGCGGGTTTTCTATTCCCTATAATGAGTTTTTTAGTCACATCTTGTGCTACATTTAGACTAAGGATATGTCTAGGGACTGCAGAAATGGTGATGTAGAAACGGGACAGTCGCTCGTTTAGTTGTCGTTAAGACGTAATGACGGCGCGAACCTTGATCAATAGTTTTCGCGACCAAATGACACACCAGGGATAACGTGTGCAAAAGCAGCCTTTTGGTCTTTACTTTCTTCGCATACATGTGTCTTCACGTTTTTTTCTTTCTTTGAAGGATCGACTCCCACAGCAGAACTCGTTTACACAAGCTCTAACTGAAAAAGGATTTTACAACTGTGTCATTAAATATCATCACCATAACACTTATCTTTCTCCTTCTCTTTCTTATCCTGCTGCTTCCCTTCTTTTTCTTCTTCTTACACCTGCAGTGTGAAAGACGGGTGTTTTATTATCTTTAACACACTAGCTCAGAATGCGACATACGTTGGCACGAGTAAAAGACCAGAATGTAAAGTAAGTAAGTAAAGGACCCTTTTCCACACCTTTAGGCGTATAGGGCATATAGGGCTAGACCTATATTTTATAGACCAATCGGCACAAGATGGGTGATGTGGTCAGCATCACACCGACCGCCTTTACTTCCCGGGACTGCACCCGATACCCTTTCAAGGCAGGGGCGACCTGAAAGCCAAGGTCATTTTAGAAAAAAAAGTCCGGCACTGCTAGGGAGCGAACCCACGACCTTACGATCCGCGACGAGCCACTAGCCGCTCCGCCACGACGACTTCCGAAAAGACCACAAAATGTATTCTTAATGAATGTCACGGGAGGGAAATAGAAACGTTTAACCCCTGAAGGTGATATCGCATTCTCTTGACTTTTGTTCAGGAATCACCGGGAACAGCCTAGTGATCGCAGTCATGTGCCTGGGGCGGGCTGGACCGTGCGTCACCTTTCCCTGTCTGGTCAGCATGGCTTGTGCCGACGTCCTGTTTCTCCTGGTAAGTTGTCTGTTCGATTACAAATTGGTGCACATACACACGACATTTCATATAATGACGCACGTATCAAAGATTATTGTATTTTTCCATGTATAAATGGATATTTTCCGAGCATCATTTTCTCTTGTCTAGTCAACATGGCTTGGGCCAACGCCCTGTTTTTCCTGGTATGTTGTATGTACGCATACAAGCACTAGCACTTATACTGGTGCGCAAACACACATAAACATACACAAACTACAGTACATATACGTGACGCACGCATCCAAGATTATTGTATTTTGCCATGTATAAATGGATATGTTCCGAGCACCATTGTCTCGTCTAGTCAGCATGGCCTAGACCGATGTCCTCTTTCTCCTGGTAAGTTTTCATGTGCGCATACAAGCACTAACACTCATACTGGTGCCCAAACACACATACACGTAAGCAAACATACACAAACGACAGTACACAGGCCTGACGCACGTATCTAAGCATACTGAATTTTTGCATACAAATGGATATGTTCTCCTAAACCATTTAACTTTAAAATTGAGGGTCTTTTCATACTTAAAATGATTTTAAATATATTTTTTCTATAGTTTCGGCTTTAAAAAAGGGGATTGTCTTAATCATAGGGGCATCTTATGCGTAGGGGGCGTCTTGTACAGACAGACAGACAGACAGACAGACAGACAGACAGACAGACAGACAGACAGACAGGTCAATTTATGAAAGACGGAATAAGACAAGCCTGGTCTGAATAAATCAATGCTGAGACTGGGAGCATGCAATAAGCTCGGGCTTGTCTTGTGTTTAAAACCAGATTGGGTCAACGGCAAGAGGTAATTTCCAGTTTTGAGATCTCAGATTTTATGAACGACTATGGCGTTGTTCAGGATTGAGTGTTTGTAAAAATGAAAAATGACTATATAAAGCCAATGAGGTAGACAGATATACAGACGGAATATTTGAGGACTGAAAACACTGTTTGTTTTGGCGACGGATGCAAAGACAGGTTGAATCCTGAACGGGCAAATGATTGGATGATATAACAGATCAATAGACGGAGGAGGAACTTATATGACGTTAGCTAGAGATTGTGTATCATTTTTATCAAAAGTAATGACTAATAATCCAACTGGCATAACTTCACCGATGTACGTTAAAGGTCACAAACAATATTTTAAAAAAGTCAGTCATTTTAAATTTTTAGGATCCATTTCAAGTGACCTCGTGTCAAGACCAGAAATAATGTCTAGGACTTCCCAGACACCAGTCCTTGTCAAGTAGCAAACATAATAGAGATCTAAAAACATTTCATGCAAAACTTAAATTCGATTATTGCTCAGACAACTAGCTATTAGTAGATTTACATATGGCTATGAAATGTGGAACTTAACAGCTGAACTCGACAGGAAGATGCAAGCATTATAAAAATTATTGGCATATCATTCAGAGACCACATTACAAACGGAGAGGTGTGCCATAAAGTTACACAACACATTTGTAACTATGAACATCTTTTAACTACAGTGAAAAAAAGCGAAAAAATGCAATTGTATGGACATGTAATAAGATCGAACAGCCTTTCAAAAACAATACAGCAGGGCTGAGTAGAGGGAAAGAGGAGAAAAGGCAGACCAAGAAAGACTTGGTTACAGAACTTGATTGACTGGACTGGCCTCAGGCCAATCAATTCCATCTCAACTGACCGTCTAACGTGGGGAGAGCTGATCAGGCAGTCGACAGAAACTGTTTGTTACAGGATGATGATGATGATGATGATGATTAATCGAAACTCAACAGGTGATACTGAAAAAACAAAAAACAAAAAAAATAGCCATAGTATTACACGACAGACAACATTAATCAGCCATGTACTGGTAAAATAAAGGTTGTCAACAGTTAGATCACCACAATTTTATGTTCTGTTATACTAATTGTCCCATAAATTTCCACACAAAGGAACAATAAACGTTAAGCCAATTATTGCAAGTAAAACTACATCTTTGCTATTACGTGTTTTTCTCGAGAAAACACAGCTAGAGTTATGCTTCTTGTAATGCCGTTGGTCAACCAAAGAAAATCTCACAAGAACGGTTTTCGTTTTGGGCAGACATTGTGCTACCAGTGCCAACGATGAACCCTTACTACAATTAACGAGCGGAATATCGTAACAACATAGATGAGACAGATGACTTAGGAGAGCTGCCGGTGTGACAAGAATAGATAAAATCAAGAATGAAGAAAGTAAAGGAAGACTATTGCTGAAACCAGTTATACAGTTCGTTAAAGAGCAACAAATGAGATGGTTTGGCCACCTGACGAGAATGCTCTGGTACCATCTGCCACAGAGTGCCATGCTGAAGAAATCTAATGAACACAGAGCAAGGGAAAGACCACGCAAGAGATGGGGCGACATCACCAAGAGCGACCTAACAGAAATGAACACCTACTTGTACAATGCATTGGAAATAGCCCACAAACGATTCTTACATCTCCACCCAAACATCTCGCTGAGGTAAATGGTGGAAGAGAAGAAGATGAAGAAGAATGCCGTTTGTGATAGGATTATTGTTCCCAGGTAGACAAACCTATGGGACACCTAGTAGTATTACGATCGACGTCATTGCACAACGGACATTCTCAGGTCTGTTCAGTCTTCCAATGCAGCAGCCATCCAAATTTATCTCTACCAGTTAGCTGCTCCTATTTCAATTCCCAATTCCTTTTAAGAAGAAAAACAAAAACTCAACCACGTTCAACCTGCCGCTAGCTAGTCGAAGCTGCCAAAAGTCTCTGGCTACATTTGCGGTCTTGTTTATTTGCGCCATTTTCGTGGCTAAGGTTCTGGTATTTGCGCCGTCTCTGGGCTTAATGCTTTTTTCCTCCAAGTCAGACTCTCATTCACTATCGTGTTATCAACTGTGTTCTTCGTTTCTGTTGTTTCCTCCTTGGTTTTAGCTCCTTCTAATTCGGTCAGGCCTATTTTGTAGGAGAGCGAGCTTCTCAACATAACAACCTTTGGGAAACCATTTAAAGCTTTATAATTTTGAGTATTTTACTTTGCCTAAAAGTACTGAAAACAATTTTTAGGTTTAGATAGATCCGAAATGTAAAAATATTCCTCGTGTGGCCATAGTGGTCTTCTAGTTGTCTTCCTGCAATAAAAACGGGCTAATCATGTCATGGAGATGTGTGTGAAATGTTAGGTGAAGCCTCACAACGATTCTATTCGTCATTTGTTTTAGTGTTGTCCGACTGTCAAAAGCTGGTTATAATATCTCCTATCTTGACCTCCAAGTCGACACAGGCCAGCTTCACCAGGCTTTACTTGGAAGTCTTGGCTGTAATCGGGTTAGCGCCAGAGACTCATTACTCGACAACAGTATCTCAACTATGTTAATGTCTTGTGTATGTCTTACTTGCGAGTTGGTCCTCACATTTATTGCTTTTTACACCGGCATTCCCAGAAATATAAATCAAAATGAGGGAGGTGATGTGCGACTTCAGAAAGCTATCTACCCATTCAAAACTGAGACTGTTGATAGTTTTAAAGCTTGTTCATCAAGTCTGATATGATGACCACACATGGTATTACTTGTCATGCTGCCCATGCGTGTGTTTATCTGCAAAACTGTGTTGTCAACTGAAACCTCGCATGTTACAGGTTGCAACGTCTTAAGCACATGCACAAACACAAAAACAGTTTAGAAATGCGTTATTCGCAAAACTGTGTGCTCGCTAATTTCAAAGAACATCAAAGAATCAAAGTTTTGTCATCTAGTCGGAAGGGAACAAAATCAACCAACAACTTTAGCGTGCTACATGAGAACATCTTCCATATGTTAAAGAGACCAAGCCAGAAAGATGTGGGTGGAGGGAGTGAGCGAGACACTATAAAAACGCAGTGTGACATGAACACAAACTAGGCATCTAGCACAAGACAGTAAACTATATCTAACTAACTCCTCTCTGTGACACTTTACGGCATATGCAGTAGGACAGCAGTAGGACAGCAGTAGGACAGCAGTAGGACAGCAATGGGACGGTAGTAGGACAGCAGTAGGACAACAGTAGGATAGTAGTAGGACAGCAGTAGGACAGCAGTAGGACAGCAGTAGGACAGCAGTGGGACAGTAGTAGGACAGCAGTAGGACAGAAGTGGGACAGCAGTAAGAAATCAGTAGAACAGTAGAAGGACAGCATTAGGACAGCAGTGGGACAGTAGTAGGACATCAGTAGGACAGCAGTGGGACAGTAGTAGGACATCAGTAGGACAGTAGTAGGACAGAAGTGGGACAGTAGTAGGACAGCAGTAGAACAGCAGTGGGACAGTAGTAGGACAGCAGTAGGACATCAGTAGGACAGTAGTCGGACATCAGTAGGACAGTAGTCGGACAGTAGTAGGACATCAGTAGGACAGCAGTAGGACAGAAGAAGAAAGAAGAAGAACTTTTAAGCACTAGAGACGCAGGATACTTTCCGTCTCCATGTTCATGTTTCAAACTACAGACCAATATAAAAATTGAATTACAGGTTTGTGTACCTCACGAGGTGGTCATTCATTTCATCAGCCATTGGACCTTGTCTGACTTTCTGTGCAAGATGTCAGGGTTTGTGGAGAATCTCTCAGCCAACGCCACCGTTTTGAACCTCATCTTAATCAGTGTAGAGAGGTAGGTTGTTGATGTCATACGTGGAAGCTGTCGTTTGTTAGAATAACTTTGTTGTCATCAATGTGGAAGTTGATTTCGCTTGAACCTTAGTTTCATCAGTGTGGAGACGTAGATTGTTGATGTCATGTGTAAGTAGTAGCTGTCATTTTTAAAAAAAAAACCTGTTGTCACCAATGTGGAAGTCGATTTCGCTTGAATCTCAGTTTGTCACCAGTGTGGAAGCTGATTTTATTCAAACATCAGATTAATCGGCGTAGAGATGTAAGTTGTTACTGTCATGTGTTGCAGTTGCCACGTGTTTGGCAAATGTAGGTTGTTGATGTAATGTGTTGTATTTGCCACATGTACGGCACTTTGATTTAACTACAAAAAAGTTGACTGGAACTACGTCTTTATTCGCTTAGGGATGTAGGCTGCAGACATCATATGTAGAAGTTGTTAATGTGTCGTCAATAAGGTGTCACTTCATTGCCAACAAAGTGAAAGTTCACTTTGTATTCGTAAAGAGACAAGAGTGAATGTCTTTACTTTTAAATTGTGTCTTCCTCCTCCCAGATCACAATCTAAAGCATTTTACCAGTTCCTTCTCCTCCTCCTTCTACCTCTCCTCCTCCTCCTCTTCTTTTTCTTCTTCTTCTTCTTCTTCTTCTTCTTCTTCTCTTCTTCTTCTTCTTCTTCTTCTTCTTCTTCTTCTTCTTTCTGTTTCCTCTTGTTCTTGTTCTTCTTCTTCTTTTTATTTCTTCTTCTTCTTCTTTCTGTTTCCTCTTGTTCTTGTTCTTGTTCTTCTTTTTATTTCTTCTTCTTCTTCTTCTTTCTGTTTCCTCTTGTTCTTGTTCTTCTTCTTCTTTTTATTTTTTCTTCTTCTTCTTTCTTCTTCTTCTTCTTCTTCTTCTTCTTCTTCTTCTTCTTCTTCTTCTTCTTCTTCTTCTCTTCTTCTTCTCCTCCTTCTTCTTCTTTCTTTCTTTCTTTATCTTCTTCTTCTTCTTGTTCTTGTTCTTCTTCTTGTTCTTCTTGTTGTTCTTCTTCTTCTTCTTGTTCTTGTTCTTGTTCTTGTTCTTCTTCTTCTTCTTCTTCTTCTTCTTCTTCTTCTTCTTCTTCTTCTTCTTCTACTTCTTCTTCTTCTTCTTCTTTTTCATGGCTTGCCCTCAAAGGGTGGTCGATAGGCTGTGTTGTGATTCACCGTTAGACTGTGATATCTCCATCTGTCGGCCCCACAGATCAGATTTTTGCAGTCCTAATTAGTCGCCTTTTATGACATTCTTGTAAGTAGCACGTACCTAACCTTTCTCAGACATCGCATTTCCATGATACTTTTTTGTTAAATGTTATTTACAAATGGTGTTCAACACGTATGTGTGGTCTGCATATTGTTAACGTAAGCTAACGCGGTGTCTTGTGGGTAAGATTTATCGGTGAGATAAACCTGTTCAAGAGGCCGTCTACGTTCTTTGGTCATGTCACCAGAAGAAGAAAACTGAAGTTCATCGTGATGGTGAGACAGTTGGAGGGGAGAAAAATGCAGAGGGGGACCGAAAGGGAAGATGCTGTACAGTTTTACATTATAGCATAGAAGAACATATGTGTCAGAATTGATTGAAAACACACGAGACCGAAGGTTGTGGATAGACCTGACTATCAACGCCATACAAAGTGAACTACAAGAAGAAGATGTGTGTTGCTGCCCCCTCCCTCTTTTTTTTACCCCACAGCCGATAAAGTTAGTTGCGTATCCTTTACAGGACGTTGCAGAACCAACCCCACCAGCCCCTGGCTGATGTGTGGTTTTTCTAGGCAAATTTACGCCCAGTAATTTGTCATTGCTTTCTGGACTGTCGGCTTTCTTGATGCCACTGTCGAAACCAACGCAAGGCGCATGGTCCGCAGCTGGGATCGAACCCGGCATCCCCGCATTACGAAGCGTTCGCATCGACTTAGCCACAGAGCCGACACAGCCAATAAGGCGTTGTTAAATTCCTTGGAGAATGTATCTCTTGACACCACTACAGCGGCGTTGCTTAAATGATAAAAACATATCTCTAGGGGTAGACAAAAAAGTAATAAACCTAGGAATAAAGAAATCAAGAATTTTATACACACATACAATTTATGTACATACACATACAACGACGCACGCACACAGACACACATAGACACGTGCATTCATTTTCTTTTCCCCCAGTCCTTGATTTTCAGCATCAGCTTTTGAAAAGCTATCTAGGGTGAGCCTAAATGTAGGTTACGTGAAAGTTAAAAAAAAAAAAAACATTTGTCACGAATTGAGGCTATTCGGCACATCTTCTTCTGCCTTTCTAGCCCTAGGTGGGAGCATAGGCCCTCAACCAACTCACGCCAAGTAGTTATATCTTTTGCTATCGCATGCAGCTCTCCCCATGTCCTCCCTATCTTTATAACTTCATTCTTCAGCTTCCTTCACCATGTGTTTTTTTTTTTTTTGGTCTTCGTTTATTCCTATGCCCCAGTGGGTTCCAGTGCAAAGACATTCTAGTTATATTGTTCTCCGGTTTTCTCAGTGTTTGTCCTATCCACCGCCAGTCTTTTCTTCACTTCTTGGCCCACAGGAGTATCTTGCTTTCTCCACACCGTGTCATACTTCTTCTACTTGAAGAGCCTCCCCTCATCTTGGTTGGCTGGGTTTTACTAGCTTCTCTTTTTGACTTATCCATGGTTGGTTGGTTTTTGTGGCTATTGTTTTTTTTTTTTTTTTTTTTTTGTTTACAGAATGAGGTAGCCAACCTCAGGCCCAATCCTACCCTTATTAGCTTCTTACGACTTGCCTGGTAGGGTGCAGTGTCACTATTCTTTGCTTCCCGTGAGGGCCCCGGTGACACTCGGGTGATTCAGCACGTAGGCCTAGTCTTATATTTTAGAGACCAGTTGGTCTCTGTGGGCGATGTGGTCAACATCACGCTTATCGCCTTTACCTCCCAGAAATTTACCTAGTACCTATTTAATGCTGAGAGCCAAGGTCATTTTTGGAAAAAGTCCGGCTCCGTAACGACCTGAACCTAAGACTTTCCGATCCACAGTCTAACCGCTTTACCACCATTGCGAGCTGCTTTTCCGGGCTCCCACATATTTCATCTATCTATATTTTGCGTGGACGACCTCTAGATTCGCTTCAATTGAATATATGTAATAAACTCAAATAAAAAAAAAATTAACAAGATTAATATAAAATTAATATCATTAATTAAAAGGAGTTAATTTTAATCAGAAAGATTAACCGGGTGCACAGAAATGATTTCATCGCACCTGTTGATTTTTTTGTTTTTTTTTAACGTAGTCAAATTGTACCCCCAGCTACAATAATCTTATGGACGGTTCTATCGTCTGTTCCAGAAGTTATGACGAACTTTAAAAAAATGTGACCCAGTAACCGAATTGTATAAGTTGTTAAAATGTGCATAAAATCTGTTAATAATCATGTTCTTGTATAGTAAAGTAAAAACTCAAAGCTAAGATCCCTTTTTACGCCTCGGGCGCATCGGCTATATGGGAAGAGCACCCATATTTTTACAGACCGATCGGCACTAGCTGGGTAATGGGGTTAGCATTTACTTCCCCAGGACAGCCATCTTGGTACCCATTTTAGGCTGGGTCGACCTGCGACGCTCTATACCATGATTATAATTCACGCAGCCAGCAATGTTTTTCGATCGCGGTACGTTGGAATTACGAGTCGGACTCGCAACGCCTAAGCCACGGACGGTGCATGTTTTTGTATGATTTAAGAAAAATTTTTTTTTTATTGTAAAGTGGTATTAAAATTTTCATTTTGCCTTATTTGAAACAGCACACGCCCATTCAAAGCAAGCAATTGGCATGCTTTACAGTTAACTGAGTAACAGGTATTTTCCAAAGCACATAATTTCATGCGTTTTTTGGCATTAGAGTCGGCTCTGTGGCTGTCGATGCGAACGCTTCGTAATGCCAGGATGCCGGGTTCGATCCCAGCTGCGGGCCATCCGCCTTGCGTTGGTTTCGACAGTGGTATCAAGAAAGCCGACCGTCCAGAAACAATGGCAAACTATTGGACGTAAATTTTCCTAGAAAAACCACACAACAGCCAGAAGCTGTTGGGGTTGGTTCTGCAACGTCCTGTAAAGGATACGCAACTAACCTATTGGCATTTCACACTCAAGCGGTAATCTCCAGCATTAGTCTCCTATAATATGCGGATTTTTCAGTGTATGTGGGATAGGTTATGAAAATACACGCCATGCATCACTGTACTAGTAAACTGATTTCCAAACAATCTGCACGTGTATGTCAGTTATTGTATATATTCCGTTTCTTTTACGGGTACACACACACATTATTAGACAAACAAAGATCGAAGAAATTCGCTGCTTTAAAAACAGCAGCACCTGTGCAACTGTAAACCATAAAATCATAAGGACATGGGAAATTTAACGCCACATGCAAAAATTCTTGTTGATCCGTACAGGATTTTTCGAGATAGTTGTTTAAGTGTGAGGGCACGATTTTTGAAACGCACTGTAAGGCCACAGGGCACCGTTTCCCACTTTGGGAAATACAAGCACAGTCTGCGAAGAATTGGTCGCGCTTGCATTTTAGTTGGGACTAAACGAAAAATTATAATACTAATTTAAAATGTGGGAGCCGTGGTGGCCTAGCGGCTAGACGCTCGAGTGCCGATGCTAAGGTCTTGAGTTCGAATCCGTATCAGATGTGAATTTGTTTTACATATCCTTGGCTAAAGTCGACCCAGACTAAATTTGGTACTAGACAAAGCACTGGGAAGTAAAAGAAGCCGGCGTGATGTTGACCCTGTCTCACAGCAAGTGCCGATTGTTCTATTAAAATAAATTTAGTTAGTTAGTTAGTTGGGTTATCATCATTGCACTCTGAACATGTCCATAGGTGCTCAGATCCTCCCCTCAGTATGAACCCCAACGTCCGATGGCTAATAGTACCAGTTCTATGTTGATTAACAAGTCTTCTGACGCGTCCGGTGT